TATACACGCTTAGCTTTCTCAGATAAAAAAGGGGACTAATTTCTGCATGCGGAGTCAAAGTAGCATTTTGAAGGTCAAAAAGTAAAACCGGAACATTTTTATATATTTTTTCTTCAGCACGTATATCTATCATTTCTTATTTAAAAACTTGGTATCTTTCAAAGTCTTCTCTCAATTTTTCAGACATAGTACATACAACACGGACTTTTTCTCTTTTTACATAAAAAAATATCTATAGGCGTATTTTAAAATATATATCTATAGGCGTACTTCCTTTTTGAAAAAATTTGTTTTTCAGCGTGTTCACCAGTTTCTTTATTTGCAGTATCACTATCCTTATTTTCCTCGTGGTTTCGTTTTGGTTTAGCAGTGTTTGTGCAGTCAGTCGAGGTAATAAGGAAATGCCTTATTTCAGTAGCTGAATTTTACTGCATAAAATGATAAAAAAATATCGTTTTGCTCCTTCTGACATTTTCTTAGCACATTCGTACTTACAGTTTGCCAGACAGTTTTTTTTTTGTTTGAATGATTTTATTTGGTACTTGTTTTCCTCTTCGACTTGTATAATTTTTACCAGCTTGGTATGCCTTTTTTTTATTACATCCCCAGGTTTCAGGTTTAGATAATCGTTCTCGGAACTTTTACTTAAACGTTTTTTCAACTTGATCCCTAGAAGAGTAATATTACTTAGTAGATAGTAGTATCTCTAGTCTATTAGTAGATAGTAGTATCTCTAGTCTATTAGTAGATAGTAGTATCTCTAGTCTATTAGTAGATAGTAGTATCTCTAGCCTATTAGTAGATAGTAGTATCTCTAGTCTATTAGTAGATAGTAGTATCTCTAGTCTATTAGTAGATAGTAGTATCTCTAGTCTATTAGTAGATAGTAGTATCTCTAGTCTATTAGTAGATAATAGTATCTCTAGTCTATTAGTATATCCTAATTGAATCATTCTTAAGTGGTTAAAAATGGTTCACTTTGTATATAATAGTAGATTTTAATGTCAAAATCACTTTTTAGATGAAATTTTTATGATAAAAAAAAAACATAAATATATTTAAAAAATGTTTAAAATAATATGATTAATACTCTTAATTGTCTTTTTTTTACTTTCAAACTTTCAAAAAAAAACTTTCAGAAAAATTCATTTCAAATCATTTTATAAATTTTTTTTTTTTAACTACGCAGCCTGGTTTTTATTTTTGATTTAAAAATGTTTTATTAGAAGTTGTTTAAATTTTAATATTAATGATATTTTTGATTTAACAAGTAAATAAGTTACTTTGTAAGATCAACGTTACAAAGTACACATATATTGACTAACCGTTGTAGATAAGTGAAGAAAAATGAATAAGTATTGACTTTTTAGAGTAGGCACTGCAAAATATAGTTAGAATGACTTACCGTTAGGAAATGGCGCGGCAAATTGTACTTACATTAACTGTGGTAAGTTTGTAAATTGATTTATGCAAACATCATTATTTTAAAATAAAAAAATAATTTAGCTCATAAACCCCCTTTTATTTTGAATTATAATAGTTATTTCCATGCTAATCGAAACTAGTATTTGTTTCGCAATGTGTCAGGTGTCAATTTGAGTAAAGCTACACAACGTTATAAAAAAGATTTTTTTTTAATTTTCAAATAATAGCTTTAATGGTATTTTATTCTATATCGGTGTCAAACTAGAACACTTGTTGATTTTCAGACCTATTTTTTATATGATTTTTGATGAGTATAAAAACCTCTATCATAATAATTAGTTAATAAAAACCAGCAAGAGATTCAGTTATTGTTAGAACCTTGTCAAGCCATAGTCATAAGACTGAATCATAAAATCATAAAAGTTTGTTTTGCATCTTATTTACAAAGACCACCCGATTTTCAACTTAAACAATGAAAACAATTAAAAACGGCCTGCGTTTCAAGACTACACTTTTTATGACTATGGTCAAACTAAATATTACTTAAATAAAGTTGCAGATGGAACTTCGGCACATTTGCAGTTTGCTTGTTTTGTGCTGTAAATTGGGCTGTAAATTGCAGTTTATTTTGTTCATAGTGATTTAAATAGTCTAATAAAATGATAAAGTCAACTTTGGCAAAAATATCAGTTAGAACCTCGTCAAACCAATGTCAATAAACTCCAATTAACAAAAAAAAAATTTATCTTTGATAAGGTAAAGTGGTGTAACATTGACACATCTTTAGAAAAAAAAAGTTTTTTCTAGAATGCGACTAAAAAAAATTTGATATCCAATATTTCTTAGTGTTTACCAATGATATTGCTGCCAAAAACTGTTAAAAAATTTAATTTTGTATGTAATATTATTAATAGGTAATTATTTTTATTACTGTAGTGCCACTGTCAATGTTACCCTTTATCTAGGGTAACTTTGACAGTAAGATGTTTTATGCTTTAAATGTTAAAAATAACTTATAAGGGTAACATAATAATTGGAATTTCGACAAATAAAATAGAGAAAACATTTGAAATATATACTATATTTCTACTAGTTATATTTATTACTTTAAAAAAAAATGTAAAATAGCGCTGAAAACATAACAAAAAATTATTATTTAAAAGATATCAAATAGATTCAGCTCTGATATTTTCTACTTGAATATATAAAAGTAATATATAAGTTATTTTTTTTAAGCCTTGCATTTTTGGTTGATTCCATTTCATTTAATTTTGCATGAGATCATTCAGATATCAGACATTCCGCTAATGTTTAATTGATTCTTTTTCTTTTTTCGTCGCTTTACACTGGTTGCGTGTGCCGAAGATGTTTCAAAAGTACCGCTTTTAGTTGTTTTCTTGGAGTTAGAATTTCCCTTATTTCATCTGAGCTTGTGACTCGCATTGGTGCGGAGCTTATATTATTCATGTCACTGATTGCCGGTGCAATCTTGTTTTGATTTTCGTTATTAGTTGCGCGATTATTTACACCCGATGTAAGAAGCTCTGCCGTTGACAATTTCACACTGGTTATTTTATTTTGTTTTAGTGGAAAAATTGCATAAATTTCAAAAACCATTATAGCATTGCTTCGATTGATTGCCCCAATGTCTGTAACCAATTTCAGCAACTGTGGAAAAGTTGCATTATCTACATTTTATATCGTGTTGTCTCATAAAAGGTTTTCAAACAAGATGCTTTGATTGTCTTAAAAACACCTACATCTAAAGGCTGTAAAAGACTACTTGTATGAGCAGTTAAACAAAGTAGCTCAATTTTGTTTGCAATAGCTAAGTCTACAACAGTTTTTAATATGTGAGAGTTGTGTCCGTCAAATATTGGAAGCTTCAATTCGTTTAATTACATTGCTTCAGCAATAAATATCTTTTCAAACCATTCAATAATTTGGGGGATTCCATCCAATCTGAAGGAGAACAATTGTAACGTGCATTGTCCGGACCGCCATTTCACCAGGTGCCGTAAAAGTGAAGATCTTTATAAACAATGTAAGGTGATAAAAGTTGACCGGTTGCCGAAAAGCATAGCTGCACTGTGAACATTGTTTTAGTTGAGGTACCGACCGTTTTATGTGGATTTATTAATCCGCGTTTGCAAAGAAATCTTCTGCTTGCCTATGTCGGTTTGAAATCCTGTTTCATCTACATTGAATATATTTGTTGCTTATTCTGTAGATGAATTTTCTTAATAACAACTGCTAGTTTTACAAAAAAAGTCATCAGCTATGTTAACACTGCATAGATACGCATGGTTAGCAGGAAGAGATTGTCCTATCCAACGCTAAATTCGTTTTTCCATCTCTCTTCAAAACCACGCATCCAATCAATTTCAGGCTTGCCATTCTTAAAGGTATTGGCTCTACCACTACTGTTTATGTAGTCTTGCACAATACTCACAACATTGCAACGATCAATCTTAAAGCTCCAGTCTCCAAGTTTCTGAATTGTATGAACAATCAACGTTTCTTCTTCTCTTGTCAAAATTGTTGTGCGTCCAACTTATTTACAATGCACTTTCTTGAGATAATTAGTTAATGTTGTTCTATTGATATTGCACATGAATGCTTTACTTATACTGACATTGTTTTCACTCACATCATTGTTTTCACTCACATCACTTTTTTCATGTCTTCACGATCATACAATCCGTATGTTGAACTTGGTTTTTTTTAATGTAGATGTGAGGCGTGACCATAAACTGTAAAAAAAATCAATCATTTATTTATTAAAAATTTAAGCGCAATGAGAATAATTACACATTATGAGTAAACTTTGACAGTTTTATTTTACATTATGGGTAACTTTGACAATCCTGTCAATGTTACCTCAAAACCGAAATGCACGTCTTGAACAAAAAATACTAAGAAATCATTTTAAATGCTTAGCATTTAGAAATAAAATCATAAAAACACATTTAAAATTGCATTGTATTATGGTTTAACTTTATAACTAAAGTTTTTCAACATTAAAAATTTTGTGTTCGCCGTAATTTATCGTTATTTATGTTTACAATTGTGTGGATAAAAATAACTATATTTGTTAATTCAACAGATTGTTGTCGCGTCGGTTAAAATAATTCAACAGATTGTTGTCGCGTCGGTTAAAATAATTTAAACAATACCCAACTGGTGACTGGTAAAAAACACTAAAAATGTCACCTGTCAATGTAACCCCGCGTTACTTTAACTGTCAAGAAATTGCAAGCAGCGAAAAGTTAATACAAATAAAACGACGGCAAACGACAGACATGTTATTTTAAAAAAACAGATCTAAATATACTCGTGGGATTCCCATAGTAATTTGAAGTGCTCAAAAAAATGTTGTTATTTTTTTTTTAATTAAATTTTTTTTTTTTAATTTCTTTATTAAAAAAAATAGTTGCGGGATTAGGGGTATTAAAAAAAACTTTGCATGTTATAATTGAAATTAGTATTCACATGTTTATAGAATTTTTTTTTTAAATAAATATAAACCTTCTGTCACTTTTCACAGAGAACAACACAAAATTATATCTATTTATAGAATTTGTTATTTATTTATTTAAATAAAATATATTACATATGATTGAGTGTACTGTAAAATTTATTACATATTTTTGAGTGTACAGGAAATACACATTTAAAACCGTTACTGTTTTCAAATTCTTGTAAACTGGCAATAATTTCACTTTAAAATCTTGTAGCTCTATGCCAGAATATTATGTTTATATTAAATCTAACAAATCTAGATTACATTTAGTTTGAAACATATTTTCCGAACCAGAGAAATAAACTTCCTGTTTAAATTTCACGTGATAGCCTCTTGTTCTTCACAATTTGGACGAGGACGTGCCCAAGAAGGAATACTTGCACTCTGAAGCCGTATATAAAAGCAATAAAAAGTATATATATATATATATATATATATATATATATATATATATATATATATATATATATATATATATATATATATATATATATATATATATATATATATATATATATAGAGAGAGAGAGAGAGAGAGAGAGAGAGAGAGAGATGCACATAGGTACATATATATATATACATATAAATATATATATATATACATATAAATATATATATATATATATATATATATATATATGCATATATATATATATATATATATGCATGTATATCTTATACTGCTGAGTTAGGTGAACATGATGATGTCATACTCACCTAACGTCAAATAGCCTGCTGCCGGGGGCTTCAGTACATACATCGACTGACAAATAGCCTGACTCGCAGTGGAATGCTACTACATCGACTGAGGGTTTGGTATGGGTCAGCAACCTTTTCATTCATTATTCTTTGTTTTCCCTCATCGTTTTCTAAAAACGCTCACTTAATTTAGGCTAGCAAAAAAAGTGAGCAATTGCGCATATAAATATGCTATAGTAGATATATATATATATATATATATATATATATATATATATATATATATATATATATATATATATATATTATATATATATATATATATATGTATATATATATATATATATATATATATAAATATATATATATATATATATATATATATATATATATATATATATATATATATATATATATATATATATATATATATATATATATATATATATATGTCTGTCTTCGTAGTATTACTAAAGACAAAAATAAGAGCATTTTAAATCCAACTTGCTTTTTATAGGGGAAAGCTCTGATTATTCCCTCAAAGGTTTAAAGAAAATCTACGAAAAAGATCTAAATTTTAACAAGAAACACCATACTGCTAAATATAGAAAAACGTATTAATTATTAACAGAGATGTAATCAAGACAGTAAAGGCAAAGACCGAGACATTTGGGCTCAAGACCAAGACCAAGACTGTATGCTTCAAGACCAAGACCAAGATATCAAAAAATCAACCCGAGACCAAGACCAAGACTTTGAAAGTATTTACAAGACCAAGATCAAGACTTATTGAGAAAGGGAAGTTGCGACGATCTACAGTTTGTTATTGATAACTAATCCATTTGTTGAGTTGATATTTTTCATATGAATCAAGAAAGTAAAAGACAAAAGAGGTTCAAGACCAAGACCAATACTTTAGGCTTTCAAGACCAAGGCTAAGACCAAGACTTTAGGGTGCAAGACCAATACCAAAATCAAGACAGTTAAATATGAGTCACGAGGTGTCTCGAGACCAAGACTTTCGTCTCGAGACCTACATCTCTGATTATTAATAACTATTGTTAAGAAAGTAATCAATGTTAATATTAAGAAAAATGTATAAAAACTTTTTTTTTACTCGTCTCCAGTTCAAACTCAGTTTGAAATAAAATAGTTCAAACTCAGCCATCTCAGTCATTTTGAGAAACTGTAATTTCAAAAAGACACTTAGAAAAAATAGTTTACAGAGTCCTTATACCTCTTTCTTCAACAAAGTATAAAACCTACAGCATCTTAAAAATTTTTGCAGGCTAGACAAAAAAGAACTTTATAACTATTTTCCATATGAAAGAGAGGAATCAATTATCTCCTGTAAATGACTTTTCTGAATTTGACGGTGAAAAGGAAATTGAATTAAGAAATTTAAACTTGATTATTACTTTTTTTTTTGAATATGTGTTTTTTGTTTATATATATAAGAATTTTATACATTTGTTTGTTTATCTATATTTTATCAATTTGCTTATATTATTTGATGCTGAGCTGAGCGATTTTTTAAACATATATATATATATATATATATATATATATATATATATATATATATATATATATATATATATATATGTATATATATATATATATATATATATATATATATATATGTATATACATATATATATATATATATATAAATATATATATATATATATATATATATATATATATATATATATGTATATATATATATATATATATACATATATACATATGTATATATATATATATATATTGCATATGTATATATATACATATATACATATGCAAGAGTATATATATATATATATATATATATATATATATATATATATATATATATATATATATATATATATATATATATATATATATATATATATATATATATATATATATATATATATGTATATATATATATATATATACATATATACATATGTATATATATATATATATATATATATTGCATATGTATATATATACATATATACATATGCAAGAGTATATATATATATATATATATATATATATATATATATTATATATATATATATATATATAGGGCCGGATTTACACTTCTGGGGACCCTAGAACGGGTTATGTTTTGGGGCCCTTTTTATAACTAAAATTTTCTGTTTTTGACATTTTATATTGGGACTGAGAATGCGTGAAAAAGACGACTATGTAACGCATGATTAATTTTTACAACAATTTAAAAAAATTCTGAAGTTTTTTGACATATTGGGGTCCCTATTATCGCGGGACCCTAGGACGCGGCCTAGTCAGCCTATCAATAAATCTGGCCCTGTATATACTGTATATATATATATATATATATATATATATATATATATATATATATATATATATATATATATATATATATATATATTATATATATATATATATATATATATATATATATATATATACTAGGGTGCATTAAACGCCCCATATTTTCAAAAATTGATCTGTCCCTATTTTAAAACTTTCTATTGGTACTCACAAGACACTCTAAAAAATTTTTTCAAAATTGAATGAGATTTAGGGGGCCACCTCAAATCTGAAACTTGCGACGAGACCCTAAACAGAAGAAAAAAAAGTTTTTCAAATATATGTCATGTTGGGTCTCAAAAGGAGCGAAATTTTATAAAAAAATTTCAAAAACAATAAAAATTTTACATTATATTTATTATTATAAGTTTTATTGCATAAAAAATTATTTTATAGCAAAAAACTAAAAAAAGCCATTTTTTCATGGGTTTTGGTCAAAATTTTTTTTCAAGGTATTTTTAACAAAAAATCATAACAATTTTTGAAATTTTTATAAAGTTTTGCCTACATACATTTGAAAAACTTTTTTTTCTTCTCGTTGCAAGTTTCAGACTTAAAGTGGTCCCCCTAAATCTCATTCAATTTTGAAAAAATTTAACAGTGTCTCGTGAGCACCAACAGATGGTTTTAAGAATAGGGACAGATCAAATTTTGAAAGTATGGGGCGTTTAATGCACCCTAATATATACAGTATATAAATTAATTTTTTTTACAATGCCGTTTGCTGTATTAAGCCTGACAAAGTTGTTTTGTTCAGAAGTGGTAAAAAGTAAATGTTACGAGTAAATGTTATTTATAGTAAATGCTACTTAGAGTTAATTTTTGACTTTAGTGCTGTAACTTTTGTATACTAAATCATATTTAGTATGCAAAAGTTACAGCATTAAGTATTTCACATTTCTGAAAAGTTTCAAGTCATTCCATTTTTGGTTTATTTTTAATAGCTTAAAGAGTGTCAAATGTTATGACCGCCACTCTTGTGGAATCATCAATATATATATATATATATATATATATATATATATATATATATATATATATATATATATATATATATATATTTATATATATATATATATATATATATATATATATATATATATATATATATATATATACATATATATATATATATATATATATATATATATATATATATATATATATATATATATATATATATATATATATATATATATATATATATATATATATATATATATATATATATTAAAATGTGATTTTATATTGGCCCAATGTCATTAACAATATTGAAATAAATATTGCACCATTGTTTGCTACTAGGGTAGACATACCAAAAAATATTTAAAATTATCATCATTATCATCAACATCATCATCATCGTAATCATCATCATCATCATCATTCATCATTATAATTATCATCATCATCATCATCAACATCCTGCTCATGATATCAATAAAACTTACATCATTCTGGAAACTTGGTATTTCTAAAAAAAATATATTAGAAATGATCTTCCTAATTCACTATAAATTTTTTAAAAACATGTTTAAAAACAGATAAAAACTTTTTTGGTTTTGTATTAACCAATGGTCAATACAGTATGGTTAATAACCATGCTGGCCTAAAAAATAAACTTAAAATAACTTACTTCCTTTCTGCTTGATTGGTTCTAACTTAAATGCATGACCATTTTGTTTTAATTCAAATAAATCTGGACAATCCTGAACCTCATTTGGACTACTGCAAGCGATTGGGGCAGTTCTGTTTTTTTTTTTCTTTTTTTTTACTTGTCTATTAGTGTCTATTTCACTTTTTTTTGTTTTTTTCTTGCATTCAACATAAGATGAGTTTCCTAAAGACTCATTGGAAGATCGAGCAAGAAAAAGATGCACTCGAGAACCATTAATTGTATCAATTGCAGTTTTTTCTTTGGCAATAACAGAGTCTAAATTTAGTTTATTATAACTTTTATTAGATTGTAAAATTGGAACTTCATTTAAATTAGGTCCATTTATATGATCAATACTACTGCAACTATCATTTTCATTGTAGTAAACTTTTTTAGAAAATTTTTTAGTTTTTCCAGAATGTTTCAAGCCATCAGAACTATTTATGATTTGACTACTTTGAAAGTTTGTATAGTTTGTATTTGAAATATCATTTTTATTTATTAAGTTTTCCTTTTTTTTATTTGTCACTTTCTTGCAATTTTTTTCGTTTTTATTATCATTGCTCACTTCACATGGAGGTGAAGGGGGAGGTGGAGGGGGAGGTGAAGGGGGAGGTGAAGGGGGAGGTGAAGGGAGGGTAACAATTTTCTTTTTGACCTTCTTTTTTTTTAAATTCCTCTTTTTATTATGCACAGTATCCTCTAATGTATTTTTCAAAATTTCTTTATGTTTCTCACTTTCTTCAACAATATTTTTGTTTGTTTTGCTTTTTACATTCATTGAAGAATCTTCATCAACACAAGAGTTTTTTTTTTCAGTTTTTTTTGCCTGAAAATCCTAAGTTTAGAAAATTAAAAGCAACAATAATAAATAAAAGTAAAATAAAATAAAAGTATAGTACAAAAACATTTTCTTCCTGTACAAAATATTAAAAAAAAACCTTTATTTTGCGATCTCTTTCTTTTGATTTCTTTTCTCGTTTTTCAGTGACTTTCTAAAAAGTTAAAATTTATGTTAAATTAAACTTTTTACATTTTGATAAAAAAACAAACATCCTAAATCTGTTTAATTATTTAATATACCAACATATTCAATATTGCATTTGGTATCTGAAAATCTAATAACAAACAATACCTTATTTAAGTAAATTAGCAGTACTGTGCAGTTTTAAAAATTGATAAGTTTAAAAAATTAGGTTACCAAAATTCAAATTTAATATAAATATAAAGTATAAATTGTTTTTTTTTTTTTGGTTTTCTGTTACTTTGGTTCTAACAACTATTTATATAGTTGTAATAAACAGTTGAATTTTCTAGATATTTATCTCTGTATTTTATTTATTTGAATTTTTAAACAAGAAGGTAAAAGTTTACATTAGCAAAACTTTTTTTCTTAACTTTCTTACAAATGTGACCAAAACCAAAGACTTAACTAAATAATTAATGTATAATGATTTTTGACTTTACAAACAAGTAAAAAATATAAATATATATTATAATGCAGTATCTATTATAATATAGATTTACAATAGAAAAAAACAATTTTAATTTATTTCTTACTATTTGTTCCTTAATATTTCTAAATGGATTTCCAGAAACTACATCATCTTCAGAATCTTCTGCATCAATGTCAATACCTGCTTCCAATGCAGCTTTTTCCCTGTCTCATATAATAAACAAAGTTAATAAAAAAAAAAATGCAATGTTAATGACAACATTTATTTTGACTATTTAACATTACCTTTCCTCTCTTAGTTTTTTGATTCTTTCCATTCGTTCCATTTTCTCTTTTGTTTCTATTTCTCTCTAAGAAAATAGAATTTTATTTTGAAAAATATGTTTTCAAAGAACAACTTAACATTATATTAATAATATTTTTACACCTGTATAGCGGATTCTTTTTCTACTTTTTGATGAATTTTTTGGTGGTCATTTTTTATACATTCTAGCAACCAATTAAGTCCTAAAAGAACCAAACAAATTCTAAAAATTTATTTATAGTATCTTTATTTAGAGTATATTATAGTATTTTTTAAGAATTATGTGCAAGACATAATCCTTAAAAAAACTACCCAAACTTAGAAATATTACCTAAATTTATACTTTGATCTGTATTTTTACCATAACCTTTAGTAGCAGAACATAAAAACTAATACAAAAAATAGTAATAAATTTAAATGTAATAATGCAAAATACAGAATAGAAATATGTGTATATTTATTTATAAAAATAATAAAACAAATAATGGTATAATATATAACATTTTTAATATTATATTATTAAAAATAAATAAAACAAAAATATTTTATCATTAAAAAAATTAGAAAATATTGATTATATTTAAATTTTTGGTATTAAACTTCCTTACTACATTAAACTTAAAGTCATGTGCTTTAGAAAGTTCATTTAAATGAAGTCTTTCAATAATCTTTTCTTTCCCTAATGCACCTTCTTTGTCTTGCTTATTCCCTAATCTAAAAAACAACAAATAAAATTTTGAATTTAATTGCAAATAAAACAAATAAAATCAATATAAATGTTTTATAAATGAATATTTTCATTACAAATTTTATGAAAATATTTTACAACGTAATAAAAAATTTAAAAGGTTTATTAAGTTTTATAGTTAAAAAATAATAAAATAAAATCATACAAAACTACAATTAATTTTTAAGCTGTATAATAAAAAATACTATGTTGATAAAAAATTGATAAATTATTAATTTTTGCACAAAAATTATTAACAACTCACATTAAAATAGGTTTGCCATCCACTTTTGAATCATTACAAATTTTCTCTAACACATCACTTGACTCATCAATGCGACTTTCATTTACAGAATCAACAACAAATATTATACCATAAATCTAAAAGATTATTTTATTTCACTAAATTATGAACAAAAATTTATGAATTTCTTTTCCTCATCACACTCTAACCTCTCAGTCAACCTCACCATCTCAAACAAGCATCTATAACCTTCTCTAAATTTTTCAATTTCTCATCCTTTTTTCAAATCTCTACCAACTGACTTTTTAACTAACAACCTTCGACCGTTTCTAAACTTTTTCTCAGCCACCCTCTCTTAAACACCCAACCTCGCCTTTCTCTAGAATTTTGAAAACACAAACATTGATAAAACCACTTTACGATAAAATCTGAGTACAGCTAGGACACATGTGGATTTTACCTAAAGATCTTTTTAAAATAAGATTCTGTTGCTGTAGTAACACCCCTTCTACTAATTTTTACATTACATATAACAATAGGTTGTGGTATTGTGAGAATGTCTATGATGTAAAATCTATCAATCAATAATTGCTACCATTAAATAACTTGTAATGTAAAAAGATTCATATTTTTTCTACTTTGATACATCTTTAATGAAATTTTTCTGACAACAACAACAACAACAAAAAATTAAAAAAAAAAATTCACTAATAAATTCAAAACAAATACAAAAATTAAAAAAAACAAATTTAAAAAAAAAACATACCTCTGCATAGTATTTTTCCCAAACTGATCGCACACCATTTCCACCTCCAAGATCAAACAAAGTAATATTCCACCTGCTAATGTTTAAATTAGCATTAGCAAAACCAACTGTAGGAGTTATTCCATCGGGTGGTTCTATTTATTTTAAAACTCAATTCAGCAAAATTAAAAATTAAAATAAATTCAAAAAAACTTAAAAGAATTATACTAAATTACCCCATTTAAAAGCATTTGAAACTTAAAATTTAGACTCTGGCATTTGGCTTTGGGAGTGAGAGTGGTTTGGTTTAAAATCAAGAACCAGAGTGGTTTGATTTGAAACCAAGAACCAAACCATGTTCTTAGTTTGAAACCAAACCATGTTCTTAGTTTGAAACCAAACCACCCAAAATATTTCCTAACTAACGGTTTGATAACACGAACAAAAATAGTAAACCAAATACCATGTATATCTGACATGGTCAACAAACAAATGGTATTTTGTGAGATGATGAAGGATATTTTGATTTTTTAAATAAATAAAAACACCAAAACTTTAAAATATTCAAAAAATAACTTAAAGTTTCAATCTTGAGTAAAAAACATTTTTTTAATAACAAATGTTTCTATGTAAGAAAGATGTTTTTTTTTTTTTTTTTTTTTTTTTTTTTAACATCTTCACTTCCAACAAGGCTGCAAGCAACCACTATAAGAGTTGGAAGTTACTGGAAGAGAAAAGACTAAATCTGTAGAGCAAGATAACGATTGACTGATGACTTAAAAGATTGCAAATTATATGAATCAGGAAAGCAAGATGAAGGAAGCGAATTCCAAAGAACTGATGTTCGAGGAAAAAAACTAGAAGAATAAGAGTTTTTGAAGCACTTAGGAACAGTCACAGAAAAAGGATGAGACTTAATTGAATGGCGAGTAACACGAGAATGAATTTTAGTAGATGGCACAAGGGACACTAGCTCTTTAGAGCAGTGCCCATTATAGTATTTGTAGAAAAGAGAAAGAGAAGCAACATTACGACGATGTGACAAAGGTTGGAGATTGGCTGCCAGAGCAGGTCCAACTATGTTTACAATTCGTTTTTGCACCTTGTCTAAAAGAGAAAGAGCATCATTAGAAGATCCGCCCCAGATGTGGCAACAGTATTCCATACAGGGACGGATTTGAGATTTATAGAGATAGAGAATAGAATCTGGAGTAAGAAAGTGTCGAGCTCGATAAAGAAATGCAACCTTAGCAGATGCTAATTTTGCAATGGATTTGATATACGGTTTAAAAAAAAGATCAGAAGTAAGAGTTAATCCTAGAAGATGAATGGTAGATGACTCATCTAGTACATTACCATTCATAAATATAGGAAGATCTAAATTATTACGATAACGATTGGCCGAATAAAATTGAGTTTTATCTGAATTAAAGTTCACCAGCCACTGTGAGCCCCATGCTGTAGTAGAAGTGAGATCCTTTTCAAGCTCAGATACCCCCTCCAAGCAATCAGAGAGTGTAGGCTTCTTATCATGACAAGAGTGAATGGTAGTGTCGTCAGCGAATAATGCCACCTTAGATGTGAGAATATCTGGAAGATCGTTAATGTAAATTAAAAAGAGTATAGGGCCAAGGATTGAACCTTGAGGAACCCCTGAAGTTACAGGATGTGAAGAAGAGTGTTGTCCATCGAGGACAACTTTTATACTACGATTGGAAAGAAAGGACTCAATAATCTTAAAGACGTTACCAGCTACACCATAAGAAGAAAGCTTATGGAGAAGACCAGCATGCCAAACTTTATCAAAAGCTTTAGAAATGTCAAGTGCGATAGCCTTAACCTCTCCACCTCTATCTCATGCACGGTAAAACCTATCGGTTATTACTGTTAGCACATCAGCTGTAGAACGAGAAGACCAAAATCCATATTGATGATCAGAAAGTAAGTTATTTGATTCAAGATGAGAGATTAAGTGTTTGTTGATTAAAGATTCAAAAACCTTGCTTATGACAGGAAGAAGACTAATGGGACGGTAGTTAGATGAATCAGATCGCTCTCCGGAATTTTTGAAAATAGGGATAACAGATGCTGCTTTCCAGCATGATGGAAAACAAGACTCTGATAAGCACTTGTTAAATAGTTTAGAAAGTATGGATGAAAGCTCCGGAGAACACCTCTGCAAGACTACAACAGGAATGTTGTCAGGACCACAAGCTGTTGAAGAGTCTAAGCTGGAAATTACTTTAGATACAGAAGCTGAAGTGATGCGAATGTCAAGCAAGGGATCAACCTGTTTGACGGCTATGTCAGGTAAAACGCAACTAGTGGAATCAAGAGATGATATTGATGAAAAGTTCTTAGCAAACAATTCAGCTTTGTCTTTAGGTGAGGTGACAAAGTCTGAACCATACAAGAGAGAAGGAATAACAGATTTGCCCTTATTATTGATACTGTTAAAGATTCTCCAGAAGTCTCGAGAGCCTAATTTTTGTGATGAGATACGAGATTTAATGACCTGGGAATAGCGAACTTTGGCGTCAGACAAAACCTTTTTACAATGGTTTCTGGCGATAGTGAACAGATGTCTGTTTTCTGGAGAATTGTTTTGCTGATAGATATGGAAGTAACGGTTTCGATTAGAAATTGCTGCAGCGCAATGTGAGGAAAACCAAGGAGAAGAGTGAGGCTTGACCTGGAATTGTCGAGAGGGAATAAAAGATTCCATGCCAGCCTGAATCCACGAAGTTATGTAAGAAGCACATTTGTCAGCAGGAAGACGAAAGATTTCTACCCAAGGGCCATCACGAAGAAAATCACGGAAAGAGTCCCAGTCAGCTTTAAGGTAGTTGTATGTGGTACAATGATAGGGGGATTCTGATGAAGTAGAAGAATTTGATAATAGTTTTAGAGAGATCAAACCGTGATCAGAAGTACCTAAGGGTGAATGTGGAGAAATTGAGCACTGACTAGGATCCAAAACAAGACATAAGTCGAGTAGAGAAGGTAAATGATTAGGGTTGACTGGAAAACGAGTTGGAAAGTTGACTATTTGAGTTAGAGATTGAGAAAGGCAAAAGTTGAGGGCCTTAACGCCAGCAGAGTCACTGACACTAGAGCCAAGCCAATCGGTGTGATGGGCATTAAAGTCACCAACAACGACGATATTGGCCGATGGATAAAGAGAGAGGGCTTGGTCAATTTGATCAGAAATAACATCAAGAATAGTGCAATCTTGGGATGAAGGAGAGCGATATAGAACAAAGAGAAAGGCGATAGAGTGAAGTTGTGCTAAACGAAAGCACATAAATGAATAGTCTGTAGATTCAAACCTAGTTTCACGACAAATGGGTGAGTTCTTACGAATGTAGATGCCCAGGCCAAGCATGTGATTATTGGAGTCTTTACGAATTAAAGGAAGATAACCATCAACACTAAGATCACAAGATGGGACAGCCGAACTCAAATTAGTCTCACAAAGAGCAAGTAGGTCTGATGAACTTTGCAAGAGATAAGACTCAACAGAAGAAAAGTTACTTCGAAGACCACGAATATTAGTAAATGATAGGTTTAGAGAACTTGGTGATGACGATGGTTTTTTGTGTTTTTTAGTTTTAGGTACTTTAGTCATTTTAAATTTATAAAGAACTTGACTCAAGTATAGATAGTACTCAGTACACTATTTAACAACTAAGCAATAGCCTCATTACTATTAATAAACCCTAAGCCGTAACAAAGGGCTCCAAATGTGGCCTCTGCAATGCACACCAAAAGTACAAACAGGGACACCATCCATGCGCAACATGGCACTGTTAGTACTCTGATATTTTTCGGCTGTTGATGGAATCAGCCTCTCTGAGAGCTACCACAGAGTTCAGGAAACCTGACTACCAGCCGGCCTCAGAACCATAAAACTGAGTTTTAGAGCTGTACCCTCATTAGGAGATAATAGAATGAGTTGCCCAGTCATAAAAATAGAGACACAAGCAATACCCACGCATTGAGTCAAGAAGATCCAGCGTTCAACATCCTAAACTGGAAACAATGTATTAAAAATACATCTGCGCCAGCCTAATAGATGAGGAAGGGGTGCGAGGCTGGTCAACAGATAGAATCTGTTTACCCCTTAAGTCTTTGCCTAGGAGGCCTTCTACAAGACAGCAGCTGGATGCATGTAACATCTGCCCAAGATGAGTATTTTTATCGAGACACCATCTCTAGCCTTTACTCAACCAAGAGCCCCAAGGCAGGGGGTGTTTTAATTCGGAGTTAACTTCTCCTAGCCTTTGCCTAAAAAAGCGTATCCTACAAGGCAGCAGGACATGGAGCAGGTTGTACTGTACATACTCGATGTTATAGAAACAATGTAAATAATGATAAAGCTATGAACACTTGAATTATAAAAAAATAATCTTGATATTATTTATAGATGATAAACATAAAATTTTTTTATTTATTTAAAAAATTAAAAAGTCCTACTAACTAAGCAATAATTTTAAATTTAGAGACATTTGTTTATAAAAAATATTAGCAACTTAGTAATATTTAAATGAAAATAATAAAAAATAACCTCCTTGTAGACTTGCAAGCATTGTTGTTTTTCCTGCATCATCTAGACCAATCATCATTAGCTTAACATCTCTGTATAAACAGAACATTTTTTGTAAATATACTGCATTTGGTAACACATTTACCAATTATTACTATATACTTATAGGTCATTAGAAAAGTTATAGAACTTGATCTATAAAGTTACAATAAGTCAGGAAATAATTAAATATTTATTTATAAAAAGTGCTTAAAAGAAAAATTTTAAAATGGAAAAATATGAGCATATTAAAATCTGTTTCCAACAAGCTATAAACAATCAATTGGTTCATGGTGGTTAAGCACCAAAATATAGTTCACCTGCCAAGTGGGCTACTTTATATAAAGATGGTAGAGAGAGTCTCTAAGATAATCCTTGCTCAGGGCACCCTTAAACCATGAATACAACTGAGAATATTGAATGTGTGCAAGTCGTTATTTAAGAAAATCCTTTTGCAACACATGATGTGATTGAAGCCCTGACATCAATTAATCATTTTATAATCAACGAAATCATTCACAACATTCTTATAAAAAAAAGCTAATATTACGTAGGAAGCAATTAGGGTAGCAGTCTTCTCTGTTTAGCCAGCGCTTTTGCACTCAAGTTTTTTGGGCTTGCCCACACACCCGCAAAAACTTTGGTGAGCGCATAAAAATGCACTTGCCAAAAAATAAAAGCATTTTGTCTTCAATTGTAACAAAAAATATTTTTGTTCATTTGTTCAACTTTTATGAAAAATAAAATTTTTGATAAAAAATAGCCAGGGTCGGGGCTGGGGCAGGTATGTGGCCAGGGCAGCATTAACATTTATACATCCTAATGTATATTTTTTTATTCAAAATTCATGTTATATTTTGTATATATATGCATATGTAAATACCATTATGATCAACATATTCATCATAATCATCATCATCATCATCATCATCATCATCATCATCATCATCATCATCATCATCATCACCATCATCATCATTATCATCATCATCATTATCATCATCATCATCATCATCATCATCATCATCATCATCAGGCTTTAGTCTTCTTTTTTTATACTGTTTCTCTAATGATGGTCAATGCTCAAATGAACTATCACCTCTATTAGGATAAACCAAAACTCATTCTTGTTTGGCTTATTATTCAACAAGTTGCATCATTGTATCTGTTCCTTAATGCTATAAAAAACTTTTATTATTCCAGTTTTTTCCTTGCACATCCAAAAAAAACTCTTACCCATCTTCATATTTTTCTTTTTTATACAACCTACAACTTTTTAAGTCTTCACTTTACAATTTCTAAGCTTTTTAATCTATTGTCTATTTTAAAAGTAACTCATAACTTAATAGTGGTTGCTTGCAACCTTGTTGGAAGTATATTAGAGTTTAAAAATATATAAATGTATGCCAGTATTTAATAAATAGTAAATGTAAGTATAAAATTGTAATATTCAAAGTATTATAAATTTTTTTATAGCCCTGGCTATCAATTCCTGCTAAATTTTATAACTTTGCTGGGGTCAGGTTTGCAAAAAGTCTCATTTAAGCTGGGGCCTCGGTCACTTCTTAGTATCACAATGGATACCCCACAAGTTAACCTATCAAAATTGCAAGAATAGAGTTGAGGTATGTAAAGAAAATTTAGTCCTTTTCAGAAACGGCCCATAGAGATTATTAAAATCGTTGTTTTATTTGAGACAAGTTGGATACAAATCGGCTTATGCTAGTTGAGTCAGTAAAGGTGAAAGTCCAAGAACTATTGTAAGATGCAACAGATTTGGGTCAAAAAAAAATGTTCTAAATCATTTTCATGTTGTTCATTTGAGTTATGTTGAAAAGATATACACCATTACTAGCCAATATTATATAAGAAATTATTTGAAACCTCTTATATGCAAAATAAATAAGCAAAGACCTAAAATATGCACTTAAAATTTTAAACTTCTCAAAGATAACATTCGACCTCGTGCAACTCAAACTATCACAAATTGTCTTAACCAAGCTGGAATCTTAATAATTTGCCATCTGCCATACTCACCAGATTTAGCTACATCCAATTATAAGCTATTTTATTTAAAAAAAAATTTTAATGGTGATACTGACGTCAAAAGTCAAAAAAAACTATTTTTTGACTTTTGACGTCAGCATCACCATTAAAATTTTTTATCAAATAAAATAGCTTATAATTGAAGAGTATAAAAAAACGTTTTGATAAATGACTTGAAAGCAAATTTTTTTAGGTAATTGTGAAAACTTTTATGAACATTTAATAAAATTAAATTCGAAAAAAACTCTTTTAACTTTCTTATATAGGGGAGTTCTATGAACCTTCTAATGACCTAAGTAATTAACCTATTTTGTATCATAATATTAAATAAAGTGTCTTTTGCATGTTAAATTATATGCTTTTGTCAAACTAAGTAATTTGAACTTTTTTCCATAATAAACAAAATAAAACTTTACAAACAAACAGTCATTTATAACAGAATTTACAAAATAATTTAAGCTTCACTTATTAAAAAGAACTTGATCTAATGATGTCATTATTCTATAGATCCAATAATTTGACAAGAGAGTTATTTCTTGAGATACAAGACAATATTTTAAATTCCTTTAACATTAAACATTGATCATTCGAGCAAGAAAACCACAATATCTCCAATGTCAATATAATGTATGTCAACTGTCAGCAGAAAAATAACTTTATTTTAAAAACTAATTCACTTTTAACAAAGCTGCAAGCAACCACTATTTAAGTTAGAAGTTACCAGAAAACAAATAATATTGTTAAAGAAAGAAAACAGTTGACATAAGACATAAAACAAGGTGTTAGCCAGCCCAATGGCACCATGTATACCGAGGAATTCCAAATGGTTTTAAAATTAACAAAATTAAATGACCAGCGAAGTATCCAGGCTGATTTTGATACCGGTATAACAGTATGGGCCCCCAAATTTCAGCCCAAACTCAATTTAAAACAATTTTATATTAGCACCAAAAAATCAAAATAATTTTTTATTACTTTTTGTCTTGCTGTTTTGTGATAAAATTTGTTATGATAATTATAAATATATAATTTGTTATCTTAATGTCACTTAGAAAAACCAACATTTGAAAAACGACTTTTAAAACTAAAAAAGACTTATAATTTTGAATGAATTGACCTTATAATGCAATAAATACGCTATGTAATAAATCTTTTTAAGTCTTTATTAAAGAGACATACAAATATTGTTTATTAAATGTTATAGTTATCGCTTGTTTATGAAATAATACTCTTTATATTAGTAAGCGAATAAAGCAAGTAAATGAAAACTAGCGGCAAATTGATGTTGGCGTTAAAGCCGTCATTTTGTTATAAATGTAACATTATTTTGGTTAATTGTTTACATTTTTATTAGGAAAAACGTAAAATACTAGTGCAAGTTACATTATATATAACTAATTATATTTAAATTTGTGTTTAAAAAAAAAGAAAAAAGGTCCTCTTAAGGTAGACCGGTATAAAGGTCCTCTTAAGGTAGATCAAAAAATTTATGGATATATCACTGATGACCTTTTTTTTTTAAAGTAATAGGACAATATAAATAAAAATTTAGAACAACAAATATTTATTTTTATTGTTCAGCAAAATAAATATTTTGTAGAACAATAATAAATACTCCTAATATTGCAAAAATGCAGTAAAAAATATACTTCTGGCTAACACCTTGTAAAAGAACATAAATTGTATGCGTTGGGAAAACATGAAGATGAAAGAGAGTTCCAGAGCATTGATGTATAAAGAAAGAAACTAGAAGGATGCAATCTTATGACTATAAAGAAAAGCAATCTTATGACTATGGGATAGTGGTTCTAGCTTGATAATAAGAGCAGGTTCAACTATATTTACAATATGATATTGGACTTTTTCAAAAAGAAAGTATAGAATATAAATATAAGAATCAGCCAAAATATGACAATAGTATTTCATACAGGGACAAATTTTGTGGAGGGACATACAGGAACAAGATTTTTAGATGTAGAGAATGGAATCAGGAGCAAGAAGAAGGATATTGCAAGCAAAATGAAGACAACTTAGTAGATGCTAACTTTGCAAGTAGAGGACTCAGTGAAAGTGTTGCCATTTATCAATATAGGATTATCAACACTATTGTAATAACTGTTTGAAGTAAATAATTGGTGTTTTCAAGATTGGATCCCTGTTCTAAGGGATCAAAAAGTGATGACTTTTTGTCTTTTTGACATGACATAGTGGGCCAGGTGGTTGTAAAAACCTAAAAAATAAATATTTATTATATTCAAAACCATATAATAAAACATATTTGTAATAATCTCAATTTTGACAATTGTTTTGATTATAAAAGTATCTTTTAAAACCACAAAAATCAGTTGCTGTTTCATGTATAATGAAAAATAAAATTAAAAAAAAAAAGCGTGAAATTTTTATTTTTATGCATAGCTATAGTAAATAGTAACTTTTCAAATTTTATGAGCTAATGGGATTAGTTTATAAATTTAAACTATTTAACAGTAAAGCTTTACGAAAATAATATAAAGTAAAGATCAGCCTTTATAATACACTTATAATCTGGCTTTAAATATTTTGTACAAAAAGTGTCATATAATTTAGGGAACCTACGAGAACCTATATTATACTACTTAATACTTAAACTAGTAAATGTAATATGTATACAACCTATTTGAACTATATACATTGCCCCTAACTTTCCCTTTTAAATTTCTTTCACATTTTAAAATAATGACTTGTAACTTATGTTATTTGCTTAAAATCAACTTTTATTTCTCATAAACAAAATCAAATGTTATTTTGTTTGTTATTTAATTCAATATAAAGTGCATTGTTTACCAAACAAATTTTTTTGTTTGTTTTTTTAGTAATATATATAAAAACTAGTAACATTTACGGATTTATAAAACAAAATAAACTAGTTTCTAATGATACACCATTCTTTTCATCAAAATTAACTGTTCTAGTTTTTGCAGATATTAAACTAGAGGATTCTGAGTGAAAAATTTTATAAAATTATAATGTAAAAGGTTGATAGCTGCAAACAATGCTAATACTCATTTTGAGAGAAGTAATGAAAATTGTCTAGCTCAAGATTTTCAATACACCTACAGTGTATTGAAATGCTACATTATCAGTTAATGAAGTTGAGAAACCATGTTGCTCTTTTGAAAAAGCTTATAACAGAACAAAAAGAACAAACTTAACAATGTTGTTAATATTTTATTTAGCCATAAATTACTTCATGCAACAAAATTGAAACTTAGTGAAAAAAATTGAGCTTAAGCACAAAACTGGCACAAAAATTTCTGAAATTTGTAATAAAAACTCCATTAAACGTGCTTAGATATATTCACCTGATGAAGCTTTGGCATTAATTATAAATGGTGATATATCAAAATCAATCAAATCAGCTTCTTAGAAGAGGTGCTGAAAAAAATGGCTGCTACATATATCCTTTATATAATGGTATAAGATCTTTAAAAGCTAAATACTATCTCAAGAATATTTAAATAGATGGCTGTTCAGTACAAATACCGCTAAAAGACCTTTTAAAACATCCTCTTAAAAAGCTATGTGGTATTCAAATTACTGAGCTAATCACAATGCTAAGGAATTAACTAAACTGATGTTTAGATGCAAGGCTGGTTTTGATGGTGCTACAGGATATAGTGTTTACTAACAGGTAAGTTAAAATGAAAATAGTACCAAATGAAAAGTGTCTGTTGATTATTTACATAGTACCATAAGAACTCAGTAGACTTTATAATAATAAAACTTATTCAAAATGTTGTGGACATATAATAATATCAATAATAGAGTTTCAAATCTATATATTTATTTATATTTTCTATATTTTATATTTCTATTTATATTTATTTATATATTATAAATCTATTATATAATAATATCGATAATAGAGTTTCAAATCTAGTGATGAATTTTCATTTTTCTGAAGTGCATATTTTTATTTTTAAAGCTTGTTGCATCAATTTTTTTTAAGTTTATTCCACTAGAGGAATTTGTTATTCAGTTTCACAACTTTAGGAAGTTATAGGATTTCAAATTAAAAAATTATAAATCCAAGTTTTTAAAGTTTGTTAAATAATTTTCAGTATTAGCAACTATTTAACTAAAACTTATAATAAAAGTATATATATACCTTAATACAAATTGATTCTTTGGATGTATAAAGGGTTTTTGTAAAAAAAAAAGTTAATTATAATTTTGTCCACCATATGTCTAATATCCGGCCCACTGTGTGAGTATATAGTTGTGTTATCAGCAAATAAACTATTCTTAAAGACCTATTTTGAAGATTTATCAAGTTTTTAATTTGAAAAGATAAATTTTTCCCTCATATCTGGAAACCATATCTTAGATGGGAATTAAATAAGGTATGCCAAATCTAAATACACCAGTTAATATATATTAATACTTCATAATTAACAAAATGCCTTATTTTAGATAGTATTCAATTAACTTAATTTAGCTTGCATAATTAATGATTTTATTTGTTGACAAAAGCAAGAGATTCTTATTTAATACAATGCCTAAATATTTTATCTTATTTTTATTATTTGTTTTTTAACCTCTTATTCTGAAATTAAGTTTTTTTTTTTTTTTTTTTGATTTTGCTAGCTTGATATTTAATGATAAATATTTAAGTTTATTTTTGTATTTAAGGAAATGCTATGGTATTAAATGCCTTCTGCAAATCAACAAACATTCCAGCAACAAACTGTTTTTGATCAAGAGCCTCATTTAATGTATCTGCTATATTAATAAGTGCTTGATTTTTATAGTGATTTTTGAGTAGTCAATGTTCATTAATATATAGATATAGATCAATGGTACAATAATCAAGTATGGATTCACTTTTAAAATTGGCACAACTTCAGTAAGTAAGCCAGGAAGGCCTCCAGGTGCAACAACAAGAAAAATATCAGCAACTAGTTTAACTCAACTTTTCAAATAGCTGTGCAATTGTTACAGAGCTTGTAGTAATCTAAAATATAGCTCAAAAATAGTCATTTATAACTTAAGTAAATAAAAAGTCATTACCTTGGCGAACTGTTCCATGTTTTGATCCATGCAAAGCAGTTTGCCATTAATTTAAACATTTGTGTATGCTCATAATTAACTCAAATTTTGCAGTGCATTAAAATATTTACTTTAATGAAATGGTCAAAAAATTTTCAATTACATTATAATAAATAATTATGGACAACTTGTTGTGCATTAAAATTAGGAAAACAGAATAATAAAATAAGTAAAGTTTTATTTAACATATTTTTAAATTTAAACTGTAAATCAAGTCCATTAATTTTTACAAAATTTATAATGTTAAAAACAACTGTTATATAGAACAGAATTTTTTTTAAATGATAGACTTCATTTTTAGATCATGTTACATTAGACTTAATAGATACTTCCATAAAAATACTATTAGTAATAGAATTTTTATAGAACTATCTATTAAGTCTTGTATAACAGAAGCTAGATCTAGAATTTTGTTCTGAAGAAAAGTTGTTTTTTACATTATAATAGTTTATAACAGCATTAAATAATAAAAATAAAAAAATCTAATCCAAAGTTATCTATATAACAAAATATAAAACAGATATATATATATATATATATATATATATATATATATATATATATATATATATATATATATATATATATATATATATATATATATATATATATATATATATATATATATATATATATATATATAACTTTTTCTAAAACTTTATTTTGCTGATTCATTATTTAAATTTTCGTAGAAACAACTTTAGAGAGAAAGAACTTAAGAACATATTGCAAATCTAACCATATTGAACCATTTTTATAAACAATACCACGTGATACATAATATTTTTTCGGCTATGACAACGAGCTTAACATAGCATTGATAGAGTTGCAATAACTTAAAAAGATAATATATTCTATACACGGATCACATATAACTTTTTAAATCAAATTGATAAAATTTTCATTTTATTCTTGTATTTCTTTTTTTACAGTCTTACAAAAAAATATTACAAAAACAATTGCGCCATAAGTACCGTAGAACGGGGTGACTTTGTTAGGATTTTGAGTTATCGAATATATCTACAGAATGGACAAAGAAAAAAAAAAAATAAATTTGATGTTAATATGCTAAACACAGAAAAATAATATATCAATAACATTGTTATAGTAATTAGCAGTTATAAAATAACACTAACAAAAAAATAATACTAATTGCATATAAATATTAAGTACTGATTTACCCTGATTTACACTGATTTTTTTGCAAATGTGATTGAGAGTAACCAAAAACGAGTGGTATATTCCAGTGGTATTATAACTGGAAAATACCACTTGAACATCTAAGTATAGATTTTTAGAAAAAAAAAAATTCAAAAAAATTAAAATCACAAGATTTTTTGGCATTTTTTGGTACGTGTAAAAATCGTTATTTTTTTGTTATAGTCATGTTATTCCTAACACATTTGCACAATTTAGAATCACTTCACAATCATTAAAATTTCAAAAATATTAGCAGAATATAATTATGTACAAGAATTAAAAAAAAAAAATAGTCTCTAATTGTGCAATTTCACATTCAAATCATTATTTTTGCAACTAACAGACGAAATTATCAAAGTCACCCCGCGTATCAAAGTCACCCCGTTCTACGGTACATAATTAAAAGTTTTCTGTAAATTAAAACCTATTATCTAAATAAGTAATTTTTTTTAATTAAAAAAATTTAAGTTTAAGTCCAAATTCACTCGAAATAAGGTTGCAAGCGACCACTAAGTAAGTTGGAAGTTAATAGATAGCAAAGCGAGTAAAAGTTTTTAAGCACAAAGAAATAGTTACAGAAGAGGCTGAATGATAAGTTACTCGAGGTTGAGTTTCGGTTGATGTAACAATGTCATAGGTTGTTTGAGCAGCAATTATGATGGTATTTGTAGAAAAGAGAAAAAGACAAATGATAAAAATTAGTAGATAGATCAGGTCTAATAACATTTACAATGCGTTTTAAGGTATTGTCTAAAAGGGAGTTGGACTTATATAAAGAATAAGGTCAAATAAGACAATAGCATTCCATAAAATAAGGAACAAAAGATTTTTAGAGGCACGAAAGAAAATCAGAAGTAAACCACTGCAAATTATATATAAGATTGCACGCTTTAGATGACTTTGTTAGTTGAAAATGGCAATCACAGCAGGGCCGTCCCGAGGGGGGGTGTCTAGCCCCCTAACAATTTTATTATTCGGCATTTTATTATTGTGACTCGGGACGGCCCTGAATCATAATAATAAAAGGCAACTTTAGCAGATACAAACTTTGCAATTGATTCTATATGGCTTGTAAGAGAATTTATAAGTGAAAGAATCCAAGAGGTTGTTAAGTAGAGGACTTATTTAGAGTGTTGCTGTTTAGTAATAAATTATATTTTTGTTTTATCAATAAACAGAGGTTGTTTTGATGTATTGTTATCAAGAAGATATTTGATATAGATGAAATACAACACAGAAACAAGGGTGGACCTATTTAGTACCTCCAGAAGGTACTGGAAGAAAAGAAAAGTGATATACATCAATATCAACTTGAATACTTTCTGTTATTGTTATTATTAAAGATAAATTGAAAACATCAAGTTGACAAAAAACCTGTATATTTTTATTTCTATTAAAATTTTTCAAATAATAATAGTTGTTGTAGAAATATTTCAGCTCTTAATTGTTGGATCTATTTTAATAGTAATGCTGATTTTTACTTGGTTTTATTAAACATTCTGTTTTACTGATGTATTTTGTTGGGTGTTTACATAAGCAAGACTAGCTCCTGGATTTGTTCTTTTCGATTTTGTTTTATATATAATCTATAATAGGCTTGGGATCTAGGGTAAAGAAATAAATATTTTATATTCTATTTGTAATATCGTTATAGTAATAGTAATATATTTAAATAAGTCTTTTTAGATAACATGACAAATAATCAAAAAACAAACAAAACCAACAAATTATACAAAAATTTATGGTTTGTAAAATATAAACTGTAAGTGAAAAAAAAAGCATTTGTTTATTTCGTAGCAAGTAAGTTGATATCAAAACTGAGAAAAAAAGAAAAAAGATCGCTTTCATTTAATTAAAGTTTACACCTATAATAAATAGAATCTAAAAAGTCAATATTTGTAGCTGTTGAAGCACGAATTAGTTAATAAAAATGCAGCTCATCATCATTAAAAGATGTAACGTTTGTAGCTGTAGAAAAAAATACTTGTCAATTCTTAAATGCGTTAACTGACGGAGCATGCTAACAGCAAGTTGTTCTAATCATTGACAATACGATTTGTAAAAAAATCGTGACGAGCATTAATTATTTTTTTGTAATTATCATTATTCTGTTTTTAAAAAGATCTTGTGTTATTTTTCAACTTATTTCTGTTAAAACTCTTTTCAACAAAAATTAATGTATGAAATTTAATTTCTTGTTGAATGCTTTGCAGTGAGTATATTCTTTTTGCTCGCGTTAAAAATCCTTTGAACACATTATAAATAAAATATGGTAACATGAATGAGTGAGGTTTAATTTATACGTTGTTTTAACCTCTTTTCTAAAAATTTTAAATAAGTAACTCCCATTTTTATTGTTACTTAATGAAATATCCAAAATTCTTTGGCTTTTTATTGTTGTTTTCAATTTTGATTGTAAAAATTAAGAAACTGGAAGCATCATTGATATTATTAAAATATGCATAGCTATCAAAAATATGCATAGCTATCAAAAAAATGCATAGCTATCAAAAATATGCATAGCTATCAAAAATATGCATAGCTATCAAAAATATGCATAGCTATCAAAAATATGCATAGCTATCAAAAATATGCATAGCTATCAAAAATATGCATAGCTATCAAAAATGCTTGTAAGATGTAGATTTGCAATTGTTAAAGTACCAAAAAGGATTTTTGCAACATGGTGAAGATTTTTTTTTAAATATTTTTGTTACTGTTATTTGAAAAAACTTTAATAAAAATATGTACCTTACTTTGTCAACTTGTTTATACCTTACATATAAGAAATGATCTTTTAAAAATTCTTTATTGTAATTAGGGGAAAGCCGGGATGCCCTAGACGGCGGTTAACTCCGGATACTTGATGTACTGCTTAAACCAAAGAAGTGATGTGAATTTAAATACTATAACAAACATTTGAGTGAAATTATGGCATATGCAAAATATCTATCATAATATGCCGAAGCGATTGGCTGAGAGTGCAAAGTATTGTTTCCTACCACCAGAAGAGCAATGTATCATCATATTTGATTTACATATTAATATACCTAACTTTTATGTAAACTAATAATATTTTATTGATCAAAGAAACATTGACAAATATACAAAAAAAATTCATTTAATACTTTAACTCGCTAGTTTTAAAACTAGTATTTGTGAACGAGGTATGATTGGGTTGTGTCGGACACATGTTTGGTGGGTAGTTCCGGTCAACTTTATCCATTTACATATTAAAATGAGCAACTTTTTTATACAATTAATAATAAATTCAATGTAATACACAAACTCATAATAGTAATTTATTTAATTCCAATAAAAAGATTTGAAAAAAGTGCTTTTAAAGTGTTTATTTTCATTAGTAAAAAGCTAATGTTTGCATTTCTAAATGATGACATTTTCGTTCCCATTCCTTGTATATCAGAGTCAATTTTTAAAAACAATTTTTTTTTTTAATGTGTTGAGAACAGTTCAATGCTAATTAATTATATATTATATTTGTGTTACAAGGGTAAAAAAGAGGTAAAATCATGGTGCGTGGCTACCCTCCAATTTTAAAACCTGACATTTTTTCTTTCATATTTTGTATATTATTAAGTTGGTACTAGGGCAAAGAGAACTTTTTTAACAAAAAATTGAAAACTATTAATAGACTTGAACTCTTTTCTATTAATGAACAAAAAAAATAAAATCAGTACAAAAAATTTTTTTCAGTGATGACGTCATTATTTATGCGCATAATTAGAGTTATTTTACCTCCAAAACTGCCTATTCTCTTATCTAATATAATTAACTCAAAAATTGTCAAAACTATTTGAAATTTTTAACATGAATTCTTTAATGTATTTAGAATGTTGGCTATGAAACAGAACTTTTTGAAACATTTTTAATT